CCCTTAGGATATATAATCAGATGCCTGATCAGTCTAGTTATTGTTTAACTGTACGTCAAGCTGCGTTAGACATCCGTAGGATTCAGTTTAAAGTAGGTCTAAGTCCAATATCTAAATTCTTAAAAGAAATGACAGCTCTTCCCTCCTGAGTGGTTGGAGGACATATGATTTAGGTCTACAGAGTCAATGTCAACCCATCTCACCCTCTGAATGTTTGGGAGGACATACTGTATAGTAAGGGTGCTCTTCAGAGACAGTGCCTGCACACCTCTCCCATGTGTGTTTGTGTGGAGGTGGACACAGAATGCTGGAATTTGTAGTCTTAAAAGTTGCACAACGGTTTTAATATTTTATTTATGCAGTTTGCCCACAGGGGCTAGGCAAACATGGGGCTGTACTTTGGATGATCCTGAATTTAAGTTTTAACGTTGTAGGGATTGATAAGGAAATAGAAAATCCCACACTTGTGTAGCCTGCTTTTGTCATGTTTGTATCCCTTCTTCAGTTGTAACCTTGCAATTTAAGGCAATTTTACACAGTTGAAAAAGCTGCTGTTTACACAATCGCCATTGGCTACTACTGCCAGTGAGGTGACTGCTAGGAACGGTGGATTGTATGAAATTCTAGGCACCTCTTTCTGTTATGATAATTGCCTGATCCAGAGCAGATCATGTAAGTTAAACTGTGCAATGTATTTTTTAGAAGGATTTGTGTACTATGTACATGACATACACCATCACTATATCACTATTTGACTGTGTTTTAACTTTCCTTGTGACATACATTTCTATTTGCATATCCAGAAGAGAAGTAGCATCCAGTGGGAGTGCTAATTTGCAACTGGTTAATATTAATAAGGGACATAAGGGGGTGTAAAGTAGTGACAGGTGACAACAATTGTGTCCTCTTTCCACTTTTCTCTTTGTTTTATTCTGCATCTGTATCACTAAGCCCCAAGTGTTCTTCTCTACTTGCTCTATTTCAGCAAGAATGCTTTCCCTGTCACTGCCTATCAGTGTGACTTTTCTGTGTACTTGCTCTGTGTACTTAATGTTTTTCACAGTGATGTCCCCCAACCTAGGTCTCTGGAGGTGAAATGCTGTTTAATTTTCTTAAGCCACTTTCTAAACTTAGGAGAAGGGAGGGGATATCTAAATCGGGCCGGACTTGTCTTCAGCTAAGTGTTCTGGCACACAAGCTCACTGTAGCTTAAGAAAAGCAAGTTCCCGATAGACAGTATGTGGCTGTTCTGTTTGTGTAGAGCTGTCATGCTTCTCCCGACAATTGGGAATAAGAACTGTGCATTTCTGCTGCATCTCCTCTATTTACCTTATATATATTTTTTTTCTAAAGTTATGAACATTTAATATTTTACATGTGGCATTGTGGTGGATGCTCTCCTGGGGGCCTCTCACATCTTCTTGTTTGTAGCACTTCAATCCATTAAACTCAGCATTGTCCTGCCATCAGGGGTCCTCAGGAGGAATCTATCTGACCTGAAAAAGCCCCTTACAAAAATAAAGTTCAACTCTAGCCATCAATTCAAGAGGCTTATTTGTTCCCAGCAAAATAAATAATCTATTATTTTCAGCTTCAGACGAGTACGATTTTAAGGCTCTTGATTGGCAAACTTTAAAACTCAACAGTTGTTTGGGCTGAAAAACTGCTGTAAATTTAAAAAAATGTTTTGCACAGAAATGTGCTGAAAATAAAATCACAAAAATTACCCCCCAATAAAACCAAAACGGGTACTGAAACCTGCTTCCTTTTCAATCTGTAGAACAATCTGGACAGGACTGCCAAAGCGTATTGTCACACATGCATGAAACATATTTTAATGCTGTACTTGCAGACACCCTGAGACAAATAACAGACAGTGTAAAAAAGTACTGCAACATGGAAATCATTCTAAGTTTCAAAACTTTTCACAGTATGGAATCAGATGACAAGTGAAAAGTTTTCAGGAATCAGATAAAATGGAACTCTAACCAAAATGTTCCTGGAGAAAGTAAGAATGGTTATAACCCTTGTTTGGTTGGATATTGCTTTCTGTTCTTTGTTGGGTAACTATTCTCTCACTTCTGGTCTAGTCAACACCATTCATCAGCACAGGAAAGAAATCTTCCAATGGCTTCATACAAAATAATAAAATCTGGGCTCTGAGGAAGAGGCTAAGTCCCCGAAACACGTTAGCCAGTTGGAAGTCCAGGGTTCCATTGTTTTGGATTCATATGCTATATGGATTCAACACCGCTGTTTATTGTGATATGCCTTTGTTTTTTTTATCCTTTTAAATAAATATTCTTTATGGTAATGCACTAGGCCGGCGCGCCCTCTTTTTGCTTTCTTTTGTATCCAGAGATTTAACTGTTCCCAACCATATGCAAAACTAAAAAATATTTTGGGTGGCGTTTCATTCTAATTGGCATTTACTTTCTAATAAAGGGATTTTATATCCTTGAACTCCTGGCAGATATGAAAACTTAAAGTGCTACTAAACCCAAGACCCTGCAGTCACTATACCTGGTCTCCCACAGTATACAGAACATGGAAGTTCAATTATTTTAGTAAATATAAACTGCTAAATACCTTTTCTCATCAGCAGTATATAGCAGTCTTGTGGCTTCTATCAGTGTCAAGCTGAGTACTGGTTAAAGCTTGTAGAAGGAGTTTTCATTTTGCTGTAGGAGGATGCAGAACTCCTGACCTCTATCTGCTATCAATAAAAAAAAAAAACCTCTCTAGAAATACACACCAAACTGAGCATATGTAGAGTGTTTCCACAAAAATGCAAATTAATGAAATACTTGTGAGCCACTAGAAGTTTTCTTACTTATAAAGCAATAAATTCAGTGTATAAAAATACTAATAATATTGAATTTGTGAATAAAGTGAACGACTAATAAATCAATTGACGTGCTTGATTAAATAATTAAGTATTTAGATCGCCAGGTACTTTTTACACCCTCTCCAGGTGTATGGATGTTAATTTCATATATCTATGTTGTACCGCGCTCCAAAATTAATAAATCTAAGTGCTCTAAATAAATAAATAAATATATTATATAACTAAAAATTCAATAATAATCTATATCCATAATACTTAAATTCATAATTGCATAATACTTGAATCCATAATTGAAGTGAATCAAAAAAATTTCATTAATATTTGTAAATCAATGCAAAAAAAAAAAAAAAAAAAAAAAAAAAAAAAACTGCGTGCCTGAAAAACTATTCAAAAGTGAAAAAATATATAATGATATATAATGAAAGTATAAAAAATAGTTCAGTTCATACGAATTGGGATGGTAATGTGAATCAATCTGATTGGCGTGGTAAGTCTATGTTCATGACATGAACCTCTCTCTCCTTCCTCCTCTCCTTTCTCCTCAATTCAGCTTTTCTCAATTAGGACTTTCTCCTCTATCTGCTTGGCTTATTCCTCCATGAACGATACATACATAGAAAAGGGAAAAAGAAACATAGTGTCTTATCCTGAGTAAAAATGTTTAATGAGCTTCTGATCTCCCACTCACATGGTATCAGCAAAAGTAACGCTTTTGTGTAAATAAATCCAGGTCCTCCTGCAAACAGCCCTGCAGGTGTGTGTGTGTTCACTCGCTATACTCGCCGTTTCCTCTGTGGATGCGTGATGACGTCACCGCCCCTCCCCTACGCGTTACGCTACAGGGACTCGTAGCTTCCTCTGGGGGATGTAGTTTTACATGTCATCCTGCACCGAAGGTTATATATATCCTACCGACGCCATTTTTGCTATGATATAATCGTTCTTGATGCCCCCTCCATATTAAAGGAGTCCAAATTGAACCACAATTTTAACAATGTAATATATATTAATAGTGCGCCTCTTCATCCTCCGGCTGCATATCGAATGCTTCCACACACACCTTTCACAATTGGGATTGCAAACTCCTACTTTTACATCGCCATAAAGATAATGATAATCATTACTATAATCTCCACAATTTTCATACCATATCTCCATAATAAACATTTTAATTCATTTATAAACATTTTTAATAGAAATAACCTTAAAATGAATATGACAATAACTAATTTAATAATATGCTAAAATATTAAAATAAAATAAAAATAAAAATAAAAAATATAAAATATAAATAAAAAATAAATAAATAAAATAAAAAATAAAAAATATAAAAATAAAAATAAAAATAAAAATGAAAAATAAAAGTAAAATAAAAATAAAAATGGGAGATCAGAAGCTCATTAAACATTTTTACTCAGGATAAGACACTATGTTTCTTTTTCCCTTTTCTATGTATGTATCGTTCATGGAGGAATAAGCCAAGCAGATAGAGGAGAAAGTCCTAATTGAGAAAAGCTGAATTGAGGAGAAAGGAGAGGAGGAAGGAGAGAGAGGTTCATGTCATGAACATAGACTTACCACGCCAATCAGATTGATTCACATTACCATCCCAATTCGTATGAACTGAACTATTTTTTATACTTTCATTATATATCATTATATATTTTTTCACTTTTGAATAGTTTTTCAGGCACGCAGTTTTTTTTTTTTTTTTTTTTTTTTTTTTTTGCATTGATTTACAAAATATTAATGAAATTTTTTTGATTCACTTCAATTATGGATTCAAGTATTATGCAATTATGAATTTAAGTATTATGGATATAGATTATTATTGAATTTTTAGTTATATAATATATTTATTTATCTATTTAGAGCACTTAGATTTATTAATTTTGGAGCGCGGTACAACATAGATATAGAGTGTTTCCACATAATATATCTTATCAGGAGATAAGAGAGGGACACTGAAAGAAGGGGAGGATCAGAAAAGTCAGGATCAAATAGCGTTTTTACACAATGTAGAGGATTAACCCCTTAGATTCCACAGTGAGTATAACACGCATGCTTTACTCCATATACAGAATGATTTTACTGTTATGGGTTTAGTAACATTTTAAGTGAAGCCCTCTATTTTTGTACAGATTATATTATTAGGCCTCTGTCTGGACAGTGCTGATTAGCCCTGTGCTGATCACATGCACTCTCCCAAGAAAAAAAAACAAACCTCTCTAGCAATACACACCAAAGTGAGCATGTGCAGAGTGACTCCACACAGTGTTTTACCAGGAGATAAGAGGGGGACACTGGAAGAAGGGGAGGATCATACAAGTCAGGATCAAACAGCATTTTTACACCATGTAGAGGATTAACCCCTTAGGTTTCACAGTGAGTATAACAAGCATGATTTACTGCGTACACAGACTGATATTACTGTTGTGGGTTTAGTAACACTTTAATGCAGTTATGTCTGTTAAATAAATTAAATGTGTTGTTGAATGCATGTATTTGAAATTTCTGAAATTGTCTTCATATTAGCTTCTTGTCATCCCCTGTACAGCAGCACTCAGTATGGGAGAGGAAGTCTAAGCACTCAGAACCGATCAGGCTCTGTTGCAATGCACATGTGCTGACAGGAGGAGGGTGTAGAATATGTAGAAGGATGACTTCAGCAGTGCTGCTCCTTTTCTTTCCCTGCCCAGTAATGCCTCGCACACACAATGAGAATATCGGAAGAATGATCGTTCCATTTTTTTTGCATGCTAGTCTCATATCGAAAACAAATAGGTTACCAAAGTTCTGAAAATTTTTGTAAAACAGAATACAACTTTGGAAGTGATGTAATGTATTGTATTGTAATGCATTCTTTCATTTCCGAGCATGCGTGGTCTTGGTCGATTTTTTTTCTGTGCAAATTCTGTACTAATTACACAAAAATCGTTCATTCTGTTATCTTACCAAAAAAATATTTTCATGCTTGTCCCTTCGGATATTTTCCCATGAACTATCATGATTGCCCTTGAAAGCTATGTATCAACTAATAAATTAGCAGATGATCACTCCAAATGCATTTTTTTCATCTGATATTTTCATTTTGTGTACTAGGCATACGTAAGCAGGGGTATGTACAGGTTCTAGCCACAGAGAAAGTCCCACACGTGGCTGGTTTCTGGTAGGGATGCAAGTGCTTAGCTTTAACTTTGAAACAAATATATAACTACATTTTTATTTATCAGCAGTCAGTAGTGGGGTAGGACAATAAACAGTGTATTCAGATAAAAAATCAACTAACTTTGCTCCATGTAGTAATACTCTTTATATTCTGTATTTACACCATAATGGGGCAATGTACCATAATGCCAATGTAGGATAAAGCCCATTACCAAGGACTTACATTCCTTCTATTGCTGTATCTCTGGTCCACTCCCCCATGTCCTGAACACGGTTTCAGTGCTGACCATAGAAGATGCCAGCTGCCTCTGATTTCTAAACTGGTTATCATAATTTTTTGTCCTCAAATATGTCCACAGTTTAGAACAGAGATTTTTGACTAGTTACCAAATATCATATGAAAATATTGTTGTTTGAGATTCCATGATTGAAATACAGTATGTACCTTTTGTGCTTGGTTGGTGACAGCGTGACTGCAATACGTACTAGGCAGCTGCCTATTTTGCCTCTTTCTTAGCCAAGTCTTTCCTATATTTCCCAAGGGTTATTTTCTGAAAATAACTAAAGAGGCACTACTACTTAAAAGCTGAGATCCAGGAGCTACAGAAGATAATTTTAAGCCTTTACACAGAGGGGCATGTAAAAGCCATTGCAACTATATGAAAAGTTTATTCTGCACATGAAAGGATGTTTAAAGTTAGTAACAAAGAAGGTAATTAGTGTAATTTATTCACATCATGAAAGTGAAATAACTTTGAAACGACTCTTGTTTACCAGGCAATTTCACGTGGAACCCCCACATATTCCCACAGCAGCAGTTTGCATGAGCTGAGAGAGAAATCATTATTTCCTATAGATTTTCCTATTCCAAATCACTATTAATTATTTTATGACAAAATCAATAGGTATTAGCGTCTATAGATCATTTTTACTCAAGCGGTGAAATAATAATGAACTGTATCAGTGTATATAGGTCAATAAGTGTCCAACTATTTTGTAGAAAACTTGAAAAGTGAACATTTTAGGGCCTTTTGAGTTTCTGTACTAACTATTTCTTAATGAGTACCATTTGTACTTATATTGTAATTTTATTGCTATTTTATGCGGAGTACTACAAATGCAGCTTTTTGAAGATCTTCATATTTTACATACACTATATTGCCAAAAGCATTGGGACGCCTGCCTTTACACGCACATGAACTTTAATGGCATCCCAGTCTTAATATTGAGTTGGCCCTCTCTTTGCAGCTATAACAGCTTCAACTCTTCTGGGAACGCTGTCCACAAGGTTTAGGAGTGTGTCTATGGGAATATTTGACCATTCTTCCAGAAGCACATTTGTGAGGTCAGGCACTGATGTCAGACGAGAGCCTGGCTTGCAGTCTCCACTCTAATTCATCCCAAAAGTGTTCTTTTGGGTTGAAGTCAAGACTTTGTGCAGACCAATCAAGTTCCTCAACCCGAAACGTGCTCATCCTTATCTTTATGGACCATGTTGGAACATGAAGGGGCCATCCCCAAACTTTGATGTAAGGCTTGGAAGCAGCTGCTCGGCCATGGAAACCCATGGAAATTCCATGAAGCTCTCTACACATGGTAGGTGTGCTAATCTGAAGGCCAAATGAAGTGTGGAGGTACTGTATTTACCTATTGACTCTACAGATGGTTGGCGACTTCTGCGCACTGTGCTCTTCAGCATGTGCTGACCCCGCTCTGTCATTTTACGTGGCCTACCACTTCATGGCTGAGTTGCCGTTGCTCCCAGTTGCTTCCTCTTTGTTATACTACCACTAACAGTTGACCATGGAATATTTAGTAGCAAGGAAATTTCACAGATGGACTTATTGCACTGGTGACAACCTATCACGGTACCACACTTGAATTCGCTGAGCTCCTGAGAGTGACCCATTCTTTCACAAATGTTTGTAGAAGCAGTCTGCATGCCCAGGTGCTTGACTTTGACACCTGTGTCCATTTTGGTGATTGGAACACCTAAATCCAATGATTTGGAATGGTGTCCCAATAGTTTTGGCAATATATTGAGTATCTGAACAAATAATTACGGTAATCTCTTTTAATAAGGTACTATCTATGGCTGGCCTAAAGCATCTCTTTTTAACCTGAGATATTGAAACAGGTAAGTTAGGTGTGCATGTTTCATGGGTGGAAACTCAAATGGTTATAAGGTAGGGACCATGCTTTGTAAAGTGCTTTGATTCGCATTCATTTGCAATTGTATGCAACTAAAACGTCTGATTTTAGCCTGACATATTAGGGATAAGTTCATCTTTGAGAACATGTTACATGTTCCACTCATTTTTAGAGTGGAGCATGTAACATGTTCCCACTGCTGCAGCCACTGCCTGTTGCCATCTCTCCCTGTAACAGCAGTACGGAGAGAAGTTCCTGGTACTAGCTGTCACTTTTTGAAAACAGCGCAGGCGGGGCTCTACCCACATGACCAGGTCATTCATTCACAGGGTTCTGTGAATTAATGAATGACAAGTTCTGACAGCCTTTGCGGCTGTTGACTTGCAGTTCTCAATGGACTACCAGAACGCTGTTGAGTACTGTCATAGTTCATTGATTTTTCCTGTCACAGTGTATCTGCTTGCCTGTACAAGGTACGAGCATACAGATACACCGACAGGTTTGCAGGAGTCCTGCATGGCACTATCGCTGGTGCAATGCTTTCCAGGCCCAAAAAAAAAAGAAAAAGTAAATACAGATTTTTTTTACCTGCAAAAAAATTGGTGCTTATTTTTGTAATGTGAACTTAGCCTTTAAAACATTTGAGATATAGTTTATATATATATATATATATATATATATATATATATATATATATATAGTTCTTAGTAGCTGCAAAGTGTGCTAGACAATGTTTGAATTTTAAACCACACACACACACAAACATATGTACTGTATATAAAGCTTCATCTGAATATATAAACATACTGTATATGACCCTATATGAACTATTCTATGTCCTTGGTCTGCCAAGTGTCACAACTACTTGTCGTAGTCATTCTATGCAGCAATATAACTTTTACTCCAGCTATTGAAATAAATAATTATATAGTAAAAGTTTGTCTTTAATGTTTGCTGTTATAGATGTGCTTTGACTGGTTTGTGAAAGGTTAATAGGTTGATTAATACAAATAACAACAGGAGAATAAGTAAAAAGACATAATGTCCTGCACCAAGTAACTCTCCCACAGCCTCAAGTATGCTTCTGATTGTGACCATGTGCTTTGAGATACAAGGCATTTGTCATATCATGGAAGGAAGAAGAGTGCCCACGTTGGAATTTAGAACACATACCGGACTGTCTCCAAACTCCCACTTCAGTAAACACAAGTTTCAGCTTTGTCACTGTAGGCATAACAAAGGCCTAGTCACAACTTGCCGTTTATGGTGCTTAAGCTAAAAAATATAATTTTGAAGCTAATGTGCGGTAGCCAAACAAATGTTATGGAAATCATTTTTTCTATTAACTAGTATAATTGTTTTAAATTGGTCTGCTCTGTAATGTAGTCAAACATTTAAGAAGTGCATAATGGCACCTGCAAAGGAACAAAGCAATACTTTCATTAACCTCTTCATGCCGACAGTACACAAATATGCGGCCTCTCGGCGGCTGGGCCTTGACGCTGAGCGGCCGCATATTTGCATACCATTTGTAAACAAACATGTGTCGGCCTCCCTCGAAAAGGTCCAGATCTCTCCTTATGATCAGGATCTTTCTGATCATGTGACTGCTGTGACCGCCAATCACGGTGGTAACATGACCTTAAAACCTGCCCCACCTCCTGGCATCATAAACCCCTTAAAGGGTCTGAAGGGGTTAATGGCAGCTGCCATAGCTGTATGTATCTTCTCTTGCTCGACTACTGCTATGTTTGTCTGGGGTAATGAAATAATTTCCATAATACTCTAATGCAGGCCATACATTGGTCAAATTCCGAAAGGATTTTCTTTAGAAAATCGTAACAAACAATATGTATTCGAATTTCGCACCATTAGTGGGCCGCCACATTTGCCAAGTTCCATTGAATCTGAGTGATCGAGCATGATGGAATTTTTTTTTAAAACCTAGCAAAATTCTAGTCAATGATGGGAGAATCGTGTAGAAATATAATTGAAAAAAGAAATGAGTATGAGCTGTGACCTGCGAAGAAAAGAAGACTCCCAGCCACGAAAATTTTTTTCTTTACTAACATGAGGTGAAACTGAAGGCTTGGTTGGTTGAATTTCGAAATCAATGGTGGCATCAT